GGTCTAGGCTTGACTGAAAATGAGGCATAGTTTAAAACAGAATTCTGATAGGAATAGACTCTGACTGTGTTACTGTAAGTTATTTGACTGAAAAGCGGTTCTTGTTTGGAAGGTTGCTGGGAATTTCTTAGCCCACCTCGGAAAGAGTATTACTCTCAGTGGTCTCTAGTAAAGACAAGTCCCCGGTCCTAGACACTTTTGGGGACCAGGTGTGCTCCTTAGTTGTACATCTCTATTTGGCTGATGAGGGCTGAACTGAGTACTGTGTTTCTGTCTAGACTGTGTGGATTATGTCAGATGGCACAGTGGGGAAGATATCTGAACCTGACGGTATGGACTGCTTCAGGTCAGGAAGTCATTTTGTTTCTGTTATTTCTGCTTCTTCAGTTTGGGGAGGAGGAGAAGGAAGAGGGAGGGAGATAAGTTTGAAAACAAGGTCGACAAATCCTCAACTATACAGGTCACTTCCTGCTCTAATATTTCAGCTCTTCAATTCAGAATTCTCTTATTTTCTCAAGCAAGTATTGCAAACATGATTCTACCATGCTGGTTAAGCTGGAAAAGCCTGGCACGGTCAGAGAATTGACTTGCTCCATTAAAGAATGTTGACTTGAACAGAGTCTTGGGGATGCTACTTGAGTGGGCATCCATCCATGTAGACACCGACAGGAACCTCTCCGGTTTCCTCATCAGCAGTCTTTGTCATACAGAGAATGTGGGGGAGGGAGGGAGCGAGCAAGGATGGACATACTTGGGTATGGAAAACAGAAGTAGGAAACTACAGTTCTATTGAAAAACATCAGACTTAGCAATGATAACCCATGGGACGTGCTGCTCTGAAAGTATCGGGGAGGGCCGGGGATGCAGCTCAGTGGTAGAGAGCTTGTACTGCATGTGCAAGGCCCCGAGTTTAATGCCTAGAGTAGAAGAAGGTAAAGAAAGAAACAAAAACATAAACAAAAGAAAGAGAGAAAGGAAAAGATACATGAAAAAAGACAGCTTCTAAATCAGTTCCAATCTGGGAGCCAGAATATTGCTTTGAAAATATTTCAATTCTGAAGTTTCCTTGTAAAATATTAAGAGAAACTGGTGAACTTTTTTTTAAACGTACAACTCGATTTCTCTCACATACAACATAAATCATTTAATGTATTGTTTGCAACCTTAGAAAGGCAGACATATTCAATCCAAGTCTGTTTATAAATTCCAATTTTGTAATGGATTAAAAACTGCAGATAAATTAAGTCACAATAGTATCCTGTACATGCATTAAGGCTGGTGACTGCTAAGGTCTCTTGAGTATCTACAAATAGGAAATCACACACAGATCACTGTGTCTGGAGTGTCTACATCATTAAAAAAAACTTGCATTCTCTCTTTTTTTTTTTTTGGCGATACAGATTTCAACAGTAACTCTGGAAAACTGTGAAAAATGTTATTTAAAAATATATATGCATATGCTACGGCACAGTTTCAAAGATGTGATTCATAAATAATGTCGTTGCATTGATTAATTTTATAACAATGACTGCACTTCCAAGGTCAGATGTGAACACGTAGTGACTTATACTCAATATTAGGCACTAGTAATATGTCAGGCGCACTACAGTTTTATGTTAGCTGTATTGTACATATATATTTTCAAATGTATGCATTTATACAAACTGTGTCTATTTTGTATGGGTGTCAGAGATGTACATAACTGTTACACAGCACACACACCATTGTTGCACATACAGGACACGTTTTAGTGCAGAAAGTCTCATTGCATTGCATTCCATGTGTTCAATCTAGCACACAGTTTGTCAACTGTTTAGTGTGTATTTCCAGTACATTCCTCTTTAGAGAGTGGATCCAAGTTTCCATTTGCAATTTGGATGTTTCCAGAAGCATCTGTTATAAGAAAACCTCTCTCTTGCACATCTGTAGAGGACATTCATCTGTGCAGAGTATGAGCTAATGCAGAAGTCTGTTCAGGAATACTTTTAGGCTACTCCCTTTCAAAGGTAATTCTATCATTGTGACAAAGGATGGCATCTACTCAGGTCACAGGAGATAAGACCAGTTAGACTTTGGTGGAACATCTGAAAAAAGAGTATGTCTTCAAATGTAAACAAGTGGTAATACATTTTATGTTTAAATGTAAAAACTTCTGGAAGGATACAGATCACTGAACTGTGGTCATCTCAGGGCAGGTGAGGCAACCACAGACTTACATCTACATTATTTGAATTCCTATAATGAACATGTAGGACTTTTATAGCCATAAAACATAAGAAAGATGCTTCAATTTGCAACCCAATTTAAGAAAAGGAACATGTTACGGAGGACTTTCATGGCATCAAGCAGAAGATATCAGAATTATCAACACTAAGTCCCATCAAGTGGAAGACAGTTTCTTCCTAAAATTACCTACACTGGGCCTGACACATGCTCCATGGATGAGGCAAGACATGGACAGGACCTAGATGCTCTGACTATGTCCCCAGGAGACCAGTTTCCACAAGTTTTGTTAGGAAACAGGTCCCAGTATGTTCACCAAACCTGTGCTGGTGCAACTAGCCAGAGGCCAACCTTGTAATTTGATGGGACTTTTCCAGGGATGTGGATTTCATGGGTGCCGCAACTAAGCCTACAGCTTTAAAGAAAGTGGGGACCCAAAAAGCTACCCAGGGTTGCAGAGAGGCCCTGAGGGTGTTCCTCCTCTAGGTGAGAGTTTGAACTTTTCACCAGAATTCACCGGAGCAACTAGAACAAAGTCTCACTCCTGCACAAAAGGTGATTCAAAATTTCTTATATTCAGACTTGAAACACAGGATAGGATCACAACCCTGCCAACAGTTAGTGGGATGGACGCAAAGAGCACATTGTATGGATAAATATAAATGTGGGGATGGAGGCAGAGCATTCTCATTTCAAGACTCTGAAACCTAAACTGCTCCAAAATCTAAAACTTCTTGAGCAGTGGGTATGATGTTAGTGGTAAATCCCATACCTGACCTCATGGGATGGCTTACAATCGATATTGCAGACATTACCCTCATGTATACAAGGTATATATGAAATGTAAATGAATTTCATGTTTAGACTTGAGTCCGCTTCCCCAAGATACCTAATGATGTATTCACAAACATTCCAACATCTTAAAAAAAAACAAAAAACATTTTTGGTCCAAAACATCTGAAGTCAATGTACTGCTAAAAATTTCAAGTGTTTGAGGGTCAAGGCCAAAGGCAAATCCCACAAAGTTCAGTTTGGTACGGATCACCAAACCATGGTCAGCTGTTTGTTCTGGATCTGCACTAGAATCTGGGGAATGAGAGCAGTCTTATTTGCCACCTACTGAGAAGGCTGACAAAACAGCAATGTGAACATAACCAAGCTCACAGGGAGACAGTGGACACATAATGTATGCCCCTGCCACCTTCAACAATGGACTGAAGAGGTGGCCTTACCTATCTTCCTCTGGGTGACTTGGTACAGTGCTGTCAAGTAACTCAAGGACATTAGTTTGTCTTTAAAGTGTGGCAAGACGCAGCTTGTTTGAAGGACTTGTTTCTTTATACTAATATTTCAGATTCACATATACTTAACAAGAAGACTAAGTCTAGGGTGTGAAAGAACATGAGGAAACAAACTTCAGACAAAAACTGTAAATAAGATGCTGAAAAACTAAAACATAAACTCAAAAAACAAAACAAAACAAAACAAAAACAACTCAGAAAATAACCATGGCTAAGCATAAACATACCAGATGCTCAAGATATATGTAAGACACTCCGGTCGTTGCTAGTCCAAATAGAGTTGTGATCATCAAAGGGATAACTTCCTTTGCACTGTGAACAGCTTAACAAAAGCTTAAAAAATATCCTCCCAATTAAAATGCACTCAAGGCCCATAGCTACACACTGTGTACAAAGCATCACAGCAGCAACCTGTTCCCAATCTTGTAAGCAGCGGCCAGATCTAGGGATGGTGTGTTCTAGACAATGTCTTCATTTGGCCAAGTGAAGTTGCAAGAAAGCTATTGCAGAAAGAAAAGACTTGAAATGTGTTGGCTGACAACAGCCAGGTGGCTCTAGGGCCACAGAGTCACAGTGGCAGGAAGAGGAAATGCGTGCGCCTGGAGGGCTTATTGCCACAGGTGAGGACTTCATTCAGAACCAAAATGGTCACTGTTGCTTTTGCAGTTGTTGAGCTTTCACCGAATCCTGGGGCCATTTTTATACTATGTGGGGATGAGGCAAGGGAAGTTTGTGGGACTCCACTGGCTTATAATGTACTCTGTTGGGTGGATAATGAGAGCTGGGGGGAGCCGGTATGAGAGGAGGGGCAAGGCATTTGGTAACATGCAATCTAGTGAACTTCTGGCACAAAAATAATTGACTTGTTTCCATTATTCAATTACTCATTAATATACAACAACCAAAAGTAACTGGGGACTTGTATATAATACTGAAAGTAATCAATAATATAAAAGCTAGGTTCAACGCATTCGGCAGTTATGCTTTTGCGTGCTGGATCACGTCAGGTACAGCAACACATGAGATTTTGGTGGAACTTTCTAAGAAGGCAATGGCTTAGCACTGGGGGTGAGATGTGTCTGTGGGAGTGTGAGCACATGTGTGCTGCGTGGATTTCCTCCAGTGAGGAGCCTCTAATCACTTGTCTATTTTGGAATTATAGGAACCAGACAAAGAAAATGTATTTCAAAGAGCTGTTGATCTTAACACATCACACACACACACACACACACACACACACACACACACACAGGGAGGGGTGAAGAGAAAGCTTCATCCGGAGTGCTGGTTTGATACACACACACACACACACACACACACACACACACACCCCAGAACAAGATCACTGTTGGAGTCTGAGGAAATGTTCACCGCAGTTTGGGAAAAGCTGTGGGCTAGGAATGTCAGCAGCACAGTGTCCAGAAACATTGAGCCACCGAGGAGGAGAAAATGCAGTCTGGCTCAAGGGCATGGTCCCTAGGACAGGTGTGCGCTGCTCCGAAGCCAGTGCAGACCTTGCTGGGAGTACTGGACCAGGTGTTCCATGCTGCTGTGCAAAGTGACAGGTCCCATGAGCAAATCCAGGTCATTGAAGAACTCTAGGAGACAGAGAGACATGCGAGGGAGGAAGTCAGGGCCTGGATGACTTCAGAAAGAATCCACTCATGGTTTCAACCAGTCTCCATTGTTTATGTGGCTTGGCATTTCCCTGGAACAAAATAAAACCCTACATCCAAACAAACGACTGCTATTTTGCCACATTTATGTATCCAAATAGCAAAGGGTCTGAATGTTCTAGCTACTTTCTCCTGGTACTTGATGTCAGTGTGACTCAGCTCTCCATTATTCCACTGTCAACTTCCTGGGCTGAGACCCTGAAGGGGATTCAATAAGCGGGGCTATACGACAGTGGGTAAATCAGCGGTCAGGACCAAACAGTCACCTCTGCTGAAGTTACATTTCAGCTTGGGACATTCTCTGTGCTTGCTGTCTCCTTTATTTTGTACCTAGGCACTTCCTGGGAAAGGTGGGAGTACAAGCCAGATGAATAGCGTGTGTGTGGTGAACACAGACAAATCCTTATGGCTGCTCTGCTGTCATAGGTGAATCACTGGATAAAGTCCGAGACAATGTTTTCAAAGGTCATATACATACACACTAAATGGTGTCCCCCTAAGAAAGGAAGGGGAGGTTCAGGAAAGACTGAACACTGAAGCCATCTCATTGGCCCCTATTATTTCTACTATCAGAAAAACAAGTATTATTTTAAAAGTAATAATTCAGGAATACATGTAAGATAATCTGTTCTGTAAGAGAGATTATTGTAAGCAAATAACACTTTTTTTTTTGAGACAAGGCCTTATTTATGTAGCCCAGGCTAGCTTGGTATTCCCTTTATAGCTCAAGCTGGACTCAGATTTGGAAATCTTCTTGCCTCAATTTCTAGAGTACCACTAAATCTGGCTAGCAGCTTAGACAGGAGCTGGCAATATTCAAATTCATTCATTTCATATATTTGATATTTCTGGAGTCCCAACTGTGTTCTAGGAAATAGGCTAGGTCTTGGGGGCACAAATGACAAGGAAATAAGTCTATGTGCGAGAAGCCCACTGTCTAAACTGGAAAACACCATGTGTGCACATCTACGTCCGTTTGCATCTGAATTTACACCGACGTCTGTGTGTATCTGTCATCTAATTGGTTCCACAAGCTCTTCCAAAGTAAGGGTAAAAGCAGATTCATGCAGCAGGTGCTAGTTCTTTTTCTTTCATAAACCATGAAATTTGATCAGGGCAGATTTCCCCACACCTACGTGGGTCCCCATTCCCCACGGGTTGTACACACACCTCTGTTTTCCTTGGCCAGGTTGTCAGCCATCTCCCAGTAGTCATAGCTGTGGAGGATGCTGTTGGTGATGCTGACGTGATTGGCTGCCATCTGGTGAATACGCTGGGGGATGCTGACGATGGTTGACGGGGACAGGGCACTGGAGCTGGAGAGGCTGCCCTGAGACCCCACGGAGCTGGTGGGAGAAGGGTTGGGAGACATGGGGGATGGGCTTCCAGTGCTCCTGGAAGAAGAGAGGTAGAAAAGCCAGAGTGGAGAGGTTGGGAGCACGCGAGGCGGGCAGCCCCCTTAGGGCAGTGCGTCATGCAATGCGTGGCTTATTGCGTTTGGGAAAAGTGAACTTACTTGCCACTGGACCCCCATGGGGATGGGGCTTGGGCAGCTTTCGATGAATTCTGCAAGGAAATACAAATATGGACAGTGAGTGCCGTTGGCTAAGTCTAACCAGTGACAGACAGCATATTTTAATGTGACTGTGACAATCTTCACTGCTGTACTGCAGGTCAGTGCAGACTCACAGAAATCAGATCTAGAGAGCTACATTCACGAGGCTCTCACAGAAGCCAGTGTGTATGAATGAGTGTGCATATGTGTGTGAGCGTGTGAGCACACATGTACCCATGTGCCTTACCTAGTGGAGGTTTTTAAAAGCCAATTTTAGGCACTAAACTATCCATAACTGCAAAGGTCTATTGAATGCTGAACCAATCTAGAGTTTTCACCGGAGATTAGCCTAAATCTTCTGAAAAGAGAGTGAACTCTTCCCCACACCACAATGAAAATGCCTTATATCTAAATTTAGGGATTATTTACAGAGACTTTCAAGGGAAGTATGTCATCAAACCCTATTGTTTTAAATTTTGAAGTTTAAAATTATCCCTCTTAATGCTGGGTGTTGTGACACACACCTTTAATCCCTGCACTTGGGAGGCAGGCAGATCGATCAGTTTGAATCCAACCTGGTCTACAGACCAAGTTCTAGGACAGCCAGGGCTAAACAGAGAGACCCCCTGTCTCAAACAACAACAATAACAACAACAAATTATTCTTCTTAAAGGAATAAGAGAATATTCTTAATGTGATAGTTTCAGATATATTTCCTAACAGGAAATTTTAAAAATTCCGACACCTTATTAGCATAAATATTAACACAATTAATAGTACTGAGAGCTTTCATTATAACATAGTATTTATTTATTTATTTATTTATTTATTTATTTTTGGTGGCAGTGGGTACTGAACCCAAGTGTTACAGGGAGGCATTCTACCATTCATCTCCATCATAGCCCTTGGTATACTTAGGTAGTCTGACTCAGGCTATTATATCTCATGTGCTAGGTATTTGCATCAGTCATTTACATGTTTTCCTGATTGGGGGTGTGGCTCAGTCACACAGAACTTGACTGGTAATAGGAGCTCCCGGGTTTAATCCCAGGCACCACAAAAACAAAACAAAAAAAAACCCCAGAAACAAACTAGCAATAAATTAGTGAAAAAAAAACAAATAAAATACAGTTTTTAATATTTTGCATGTGTATGTATGTCTGCCTGTGTGTGTATGTATGCGTATGAGCATACCATGATATGTGGAAGTCAGAGGACAACTTGTGGGAATCAGTTCTCTTCTACATGTGGGTCCTGGGGACGGAACTCAATTCATCAGCCAGGCTTGATGTCAAGTGCCTTCATTGACCAAGGCAGCACGCCAGCCCAGCTAAAATCTTCAGAAAGGCTTCTCTTAAGCCAGGGATGTCGCCAAGGGCAGTCAGGTTTCCTGTCTGAGAGCCTGATCTCCTCGCTCCTATTGTCTACATGGCTATCAGGGGGAGTGACAGTCTCTATGAGGCTTGTGCCATTTCTCCCTCCCAGCAGTTCCTAAGACAATGAGCTTCTGGCAGAAGGAGCTTCAGGAAGTGACTGGCTGTCCAGTTTCAGTGCAGGAGCTGCCAAGATGGCAATAACTGGCCTTTCGGGCTCTCAGCAAGCGTAGACACAGACAGAATCACAAACTGCCATTTTCACCTGTCTCACGGAGAGAGCTGGAACAAGAATGCCATGCTAGGGGATCCCTGCTCCTTTCCTGCCAGAATGGTCCTGACACATACTGCTGAGGCATAGTGTCCACAACCCAACCTGTATTTAAATGGTCCTTGAAGGTACAAAGGGCACCTACTAGGTACAAGCTTCAACATGAAGGACACGTTTTAGAGATCCACCGAAAGGATGTGGCCAAAACTGCAAGAAGGGGGCAGATCTGAGATGTTCCCGTCATGAAGATGGTTAAGAGGTGGGGTGATGCATGTGTTCTCTAGCTGGCAGCATCTAACAGGCCCACAGTATACAATATATCAAAGCATCACATTGTACACTATTAATAACATAGTCTGCCACTTAAAATATACTTCAAAATATAGAATCGATGGAAAGCAAAGCCAATAGCTCCTAGAAGAGACTATCATTTCCTATTCCATTCTCTTACCCATTTTGTTCATATTTTTGGACTGGATACAAACATTAAAAACTATTTTCAATCACTTAAAAGTTTGTCAAAACTCCCTGCGATCACAAAATTCAGGGTACTTCTTTATTTAAGCATTTTTGTTTATATTTTGCTGTAATAATTCACCCCTTAGATTCTGAGTTCCCGAAAATCACTACCCCACGTGACTGCGTGTCTGCGACAGGCCTCACTATATACATATGTGACTGCCTTGGGACTTGCCATGTAGACCAAGTGCCTGGAACTTGCAGTGATCCTCCTGCTTCTGTCTCCTGAGTGCTGGGGTCACAGGCAAGCCCACCACACTGGATCTCTTGTCCTCAAGGGTCAGGGGGGCTCAGCAGCAGCGATTCCGTATGCACAACTAGGAAGCTGGTCGTACACTAGGCAAAGCCCAGGGAATCTCCAACATGGCCTGGCCATTCGACCGGTCTCTAAGGTGTGCTGGTTGACAATCAAGGATCGAAAATGATGGCTGTGTGCTTGTGTGTGATAATGGACTGGTGGAGACAGTGGTGGTGTCATTTCAGACAGAGAAGAAATTTTGAACGAGTGATTAACTTCAGGATCACTTTGCAACACTACATCAAAAGGGTGCTTTTTGTTTGTTATGTATTCTTCTAGTGAAAATAATTTAATTCTCTGAGATAAAAAGTTGCCATGGTTGCAATTCAATCCCTCTCATTACACATGGCTATCAAGGGTCTCGGAGTTGTAACAAGCCATTTACAAATAACATTTGCATCAAAGATTAAATCAGCTACTAGAGACTAACTAAGGGGACTGGGCCTAAGTTGTCACTTCCAAGAATTCTATATGGACATAAGGATTTATATCTGTTCTAAAGACCAATCCCCAGGTCACTGAGGGTGAATAATTGGACATTCTTTGTTTACAGGCTGTAAAAATAAGCACTGGAAGGCAGGGGCACACATTAGCTGGGCTCTCAAGGCTCATTCTCCCTCTGAGCCCTACAAGCCACAGTGTGTCATAAATGGGTGATTCTGGAGAACAGAGATGACAGGTTTAGCCTCAGTGCAATGGGCTGGATGAGGCCTCTCAGGGAGAGCTGTCAAGGAGACAGCACGAGGAGGCATGCTGCTTATTTCCTAGACAGTACCTTGAAATAGTCGATAAGTGCTTTCGAATACTTTACGGCGTGGTCCCTTTTCAGTCGAAACATCCGCCAGTACAGGAGAGCCAGGCATCGGTAACTGCAGTGGAAGAGGAGATGGATGTCCTTTACACTGAAGCTTCAGAACAAATCCTGTCGTTCCTGACTCAATACTTCATCACACTTACACATCCAAAATGTTCCCGTATTAACTATATGCATGAGTATTTGACACTCCTTTTGTTAAAAAAAAGCCCCATAATTCAAAATTCCAAGGAGGCCCTCAATACAAGCGTTTACCAGATGATGTATGATAACAGCTTTGACAGCTCTTTGTTGGGAACAGGGTCAGGCTGCTTTCTCCTCCCACCACTAGAGGGCAGTCTTTCCCCATGAGAGGCTGAGGAAGAGCTAGCACACAGCCTGCACTGCTTTATTGGATAAGCTTTTGGTTTGCAGACCGGACAGCAATTTCACAGATTTTTATTACCTCTGCTTGTTAACGCTTTACTAGATTGTAATGAGTTCAAATAAAGTGCACTACAAACAGCAGAAGTACTAATCGGAGGCTAGTCACGTTTGCTTATTTTCTACAAAGTTTTGTATAATTATTTATATCATACATATATCCCAAAATTAATTATTAATCACCATCAATATATTAATCCCATTATGGTACTCCAATAAAGAAAAGGGCATAGTTAGCATTTTCTGAGACTAATATTCTCTTCCCGGTTGACTCGTAATTCTTCCCCAGCAGAGATCAGGTATTGAAGTGCTAGAATCTCAACAAACCCAGCACAATGTGATCCAGCTTGATAGCACTTCAAACTCCAGATGAAATTATGTCAAAAAGCTCAGGACTCTGCCGGGTGTTGGTGGCACACGCCTTTAATACCAGCACTCGGGTGGCGGAGGCAGGCAGATCTCTGTGAGTTTGAGGTCAGCCTGGTCTCCAGAGTGAGTGCCAGGATAGGCTCTAAAGCTACACAGAGAAACCCTGTCTTGAAAAACAAAAACAAAAACAAAAAACAAAAAGCTCTCTTGTGTCTATGTGGCTGCTATGCTGCCTGAGACTCCATTTGATTTTCTATCTCTCAGATTAGATCTTGAGCTCAACAAACCCCACGGTGAGCAAAACACTCTGGATACATGGATGCAGGGACAGGAAAGAGCCAGAGAAGGGCCTTGCAATGTGAGGAATGGGATGGGGCCTTCAGAGCAGACGCTGTGGGGAGCTGCCACCGCATAGTCCTTATTACTGTAATCCTAAGCACAGGAAGATCGATTACCCATTAGCCGGTACGAAAGAAATGATTTTTATTATCTAAGCATAGTGAGCTAGCTGCCCTCAGTTCAGTGTATTGATAGCCCTAATGGATTGTGAGTATCCATGCATACTGATCTGGCATGCAAAGTAACTCGTCAATGATTTTGACTGCATCTGAAGTGTTAAACACAGGAAAAAATTCCATTTAGGACAATTCACATTCAAATGAATGAGGCAGGAGCTACTTGGTTTTACTTTTGCTTTGTGTGTGTGTGTGTGTGTGTGTGTGTGTGTGTGTGTGTGTGCATGTGCCCATTTGTGTACATGAGTGTGTGTGTGCCTGTCCATGCATGTGTAGAGGCCTGAGATCAACATGAGTGTTTGTTGTTCTCCACCTTATTTCTCTGAGACAGGGAGCTTGCTGTTTTCGGTTGCCCTGACTTGCTAGTGACGCTTCTCGACCACTGTGACCCTTTGGTCACTGTGAATTCAGGGTAGCGCAGTGAAAAGTGGACTGAGTCTCTTGGCTGTTGGAACAGCTTGGGATCAGTGGGTTAGAGGTATGGGGAAGCACAAGGCAGCTCGGCTTGGGGTTACACTTACCAAAGAGCAGCTAGCTGTTTGTCCTCTGGTGTGGCGTTGGGGCCTGAGTGGGTTTTTAGTCTCATAGCGTACCTTAAAAAAAAAAAAAAAAGATAGTCAAGAAATTAAAGAGCGCTTTCTGGCTATCAACGGAACCTCTCTCTCCATTCCACACTTACATGTTATTTCTTTTATTTTTTTAAACTTATGCACTTGTGTGTGTCTGCATGTGGGTATGTGTTACTGTGGATGCCCATAGAGGCCAGAACTGGGTGTTAGGTCCCGTGGAGCTCGAATCACAAGTGGCTGTGAGATATTTATTGTGAGTTCTGGGCCTAGAACTTGGGTCCTCTGCACAAACAGCAGGTGTTCTTAGCCACTGATCCAGCTCTCCAGTCCCAGCACATAGGTGTTCACAGTGCCTTAAAAGCTAGCTGATGGGCTGGGCGTTGGTGGCGCATGCTTTTAATCCCAGCACGCAGGAGGCAGAGGCAGGAGGATCTCTGTGAGTTTGAGGCCAGCCTGGTCTCCAGATCGAGTGCCAGGATAGGCTCCAAAGCTACAC